GTAGGGAAAACGAGAAGGGAATTTAGAAGGACATTGATTGAGTGAGAGTAGTAAAAGAAGGTAACATAAACATAACAACATTGGATTGTCCATGAGTGAGCAGATTTGTTTTAGAAGAGTGTTGGGAGGTTCCCCCATCATTTGGGGCTTGCTTAACGGACAAAACTACCCAACTGGTATCCCGTAAAACCAGAAATCACGAAGCACGTGGGTCCTACATGTTGAGTTTAATCACGCCATTTAGCCCGGCTTTAATTCCTTTATATACACCCCCCAACTACGTACTTTCTTCACACACCACCCAATCAACATGGCCACCCCTTCCCTCTCTCTCCTCACCCTCCTCTTCTCTCTCCTCACCCCACTCCTCATTTCCTCTTCCCCTGTCCAGAACCCCCAGTGGGTGGCCCATGAAGTAAACAGGTAAGCCACACATCTTAATGCAATGTCCTACTCACTATACTACCGTAACACATTTTTTAAATACATTCTTTATCATAGACTAAAGTTTACAGAAATGTCACTAATTCTATTATTAGTACAAAATAGTATTTTTTATTTGAGACTAATGACTGTGAGTGATGTACAGGAAAATCAATGGCTCTTTAGCAAGGAGGAATTTAGGGTACCTGTCTTGTGGGACAGGTAACCCCATTGATGATTGTTGGAGGTGTGACCCGAACTGGGAGAAGAACAGGCAGAGGCTAGCGGATTGTGCAATTGGGTTCGGGAAAAACGCAATAGGAGGAAAGAACGGGAAAGTATACGTGGTGACGGATTCGGGCGACGACGACCCCGTGACACCGAAGCCGGGGACACTCCGTTACGCGGTGATTCAGGATGAGCCATTGTGGATCACATTCGCGAGAGACATGGTGATTCAGCTGAAGGAGGAGCTGATCATGAACTCCTTCAAGACCATCGACGGAAGAGGCGCTAGCGTCCACATTGCGGGGGGTCCATGCATTACTATACAGTACGTGACGAACGTTATAATCCACGGGATTCACATTCATGATTGTAAGCAAGGCGGCAACGCTATGGTGCGCGACTCCCCACGCCACTACGGCTGGAGAACCGTCTCGGACGGCGACGGCGTTTCCATCTTCGGAGGAAGCCACATTTGGGTTGACCATTGCTCTTTGTCTAACTGCAAGGATGGCTTAATCGACGCCATCCATGGCTCCACTGCCATCACCATCTCCAACAATTACATGACTCACCATGATAAAGTCATGCTTTTGGGCCACAGTGACTCCTACACTCAAGACAAGAACATGCAGGTCACTATTGCTTTCAACCACTTTGGTGAAGGCCTTGTTCAGAGGATGCCTAGGTACAGTAAACTTATTTCTACTCAAATCATAATGTTACAAGTGGACTATTACTAATACTATGTGGGCCTCATGTATGTGCTTAGGTGTAGGCATGGATACTTTCATGTGGTCAACAATGACTACACCCACTGGGAAATGTATGCTATTGGGGGAAGTGCTAACCCAACCATCAATAGTCAAGGCAACAGGTTTGTTGCACCTGATGATAGATTCAGCAAAGAGGTACTTCACTAATACTACTAAGTCTAAAGTCTAACAAATTATTTTAATATAAACATTTATTTAATGAAAATATTATGTGCAGGTGACAAAGCATGAGGATGCACCAGAGAGTGAGTGGAAGGGTTGGAATTGGAGGTCAGAAGGGGACTTATTGGTAAACGGTGCGTTTTTCACAGCATCGGGGGCTGGAGCCTCCTCTAGCTATGCAAGAGCTTCTAGCCTGAGTGCAAGGCCATCTTCACTGGTGGGGTCCATCACAACAACTGCGGGTGCACTCAACTGTAGGAAGGGTTCCCATTGCTGATTCTGATTATGACCATGACCCCTCGAGCAACTGTCTCTGCAGGCCGGTCTATTAATTCCCAAAAAAGGAATCAAACCAAAAAATCAAGAGGGGGAAGGGGAAAAACAATCACACTATCATTAACTATGCTCATTTCTTAAAGCTAGGATATATATATATTTTTCCTATGTTTTCCTTCCTTCCTCCCTCCATTCTTTTCTTTTTCTCTTTTAGCTTTTTTTAAAAATTGTTTTCCACTATTTGTCCTCTTTTTTTTTTATTTTACTTTTGGGTCTTCGATTTGGTTTACTTTTGTATGATTACAACCTCCGCCTGTAAACCTCAGAGCCAAATTTGAGAATCTGGCCTGTGAGAAAGCAAGTGCAGGAAGAGTTGATATATATGATTACATATTTCTATGTTTAACTCTCTTTCTCTGTGTATCACCGACACATGCGCAAACACACAAGTGCATAGTGTTGACTATGACCGGGAAATAAAAAGTGAAGGCGAGTGCATTAAAAAGAAAATATTCTAATCCCACCAATCATGCTAAATGGGTAGGTGTGTGTATCAGAGAAATCCAAAAAGTTCAACGACCGAAATAACTGTTAACTAATCGACAAAAGAAGGTACAACTACAAATAGTTATTGGTTAGGTTCAGTAATGAATAATGATACTTAGCAGTCGTATGTTTCAGTCTTGCCGAGAATACTTATTTTTATTATAAAACAAGGCTTCATTTAGAACTAATTGAAAACGAAAACAAAAAAAGGCTTCAAAAGAAAATTTTAAGATTTTCATGGGAAAAAGATTCTGAGATGAAAATGAGAAGTAAAAATGTGTTTGGATCCTTTCCAAATTACGTCATTTTGGAAAGCTTTCGATCTTCAAATTCGTTTCGAAATTGCATCATTTTCACAATTAAGGTATGAGTAGAAATTTATATGAATAGCTTCTAGATACACTCCCGAAGTTGGACATGAAACCAAATACGTAGTCTAAGGTGAAAATGGGAAGAAAAATAAATTGCCTTGTTTATGTATCATTTCAATTAATTAAAAACATGTTTTTAATTTCAATTTCGTTTTTTCGCATTATGTAGTGTTCAAATAGAAATTAAAAGTGTATGATGTAAAATGCCACGTAACGCATATGTTTGAATGGTTCTACCTCCAACCCGATAGTTAAAAGCTATAGATTGTATACAATCGATACATTAAACCTTAGTAGGTGATTTACATGAGGACACTGAACACTTTATATACTTTAAATAATTTTTTGACCAAGATAAAAATTTCTCTTTTCAACTAGCAACAGGGTGAGGCGTGAGTATAGGACATTGATTGCTAATAATTAAAAATTTAAAATAAATAAAAAAGTGTTCCGACAGAATCCTCGACAATTACAATTACCTTCCATGAGTTTGGGGGAATAGCGTAGAAGGATAAACCAGCCACTGAGGTGAGAGCAGGTGGGTGTGGAAGAAAAAGATAAAATTGCACATGGGTAGTGGAACTTCTTTTCATGGACGTATTTCATGTACCCGTGATTGTGGGTGAAAATTTAAATTAATTAGGGGTTTAGGGTTTAAAATTATTTATTAATTTTAGAAAACAAAACATTCTTTTGAATATATTACTTGACATTTGTTGGACACGTTTGATGGTTTTTTATTTTAATTTTTATAAAGTTGTGCTATTTAAATTAGATTAATAAGAGTGGCATAGTAATAATAAACTACTGTTTTTTCTAGTTGTTCTAGTTAAAGCCAAACCACATGAGATTGATTTTGAAGTTCTACAATTCCTAACCCAAAAGTTGAGTTTTGAGTTATCTAGCACTGATGTGTGTATTTATGATTGGGGGATCCCTAATTCAGGCATGTGTTAGGAATTGGGGCTTCCATTCCATGTACCCGTGATTCCAAGAATACAAGAACAAGTGTTCACATTAGAGTCTAGCAATGTGAAATTGGGCCATGAGTTGGGTTTTGATCTTAGAAGCTCCACAGCCCCCAATTCCATATGAGAGGCAAAGGATTTATGCTCATGATATATATACTTTTTTTTGAAAAATAAATATATCTCTTTTATTTTTTAAAAGAAATTCAAAAATATTTTTAATCTTTTAATTTTACACCTCTAACTTTTAATTTTTTTTTTTTTTTTCACACACTTCCTTTCTTCTCTCTTTCAATTTTTATATGCACTCATTTATCTTCTCTTAATTTCTCACTTATTTCAATAGATAATTTTAGTTCTCTTAGTTTTTGCATTATTCTCTTCTCTTCTCATCTCTTTCACTTTTTCACATGCACCCGGACCGTAAAATTGGTACATGACAACATTGTAGGTTAGTGCAGTTTCTTCGATAATTTCTGGCAAGTTAAATGCACATTTTTTTTTTCTTCCAACACTTCTTTCACTTTCACACTTTCAAAAAACTTAACAATAAATGTAGTCTTGTGAAAAAAAAACATTCCGAAACACTAATTTCACTATTCTATAATGCTTTTTGAGATAGTGAAATTAGTGTTCAAAAAAATATTTTTTAAATTATTTTTTTACATACTTCTAGAAAGTACTTTCTGGAACAATAAATTTTAGGGGTGATTAACGGTTGAGTACGGTCGGTATTGGTCTAATATAATCTAAACCGATATAACCTACAAGTTACATTATTTAAACTCGAACCCAAGCACATTATTTATCGGGTTAGACGAATTTCAATTTGAGCGGGTTTCGGTTTAAACGGGTGGTTTTCTACGGGCAAGAGGTGTAATGGACTTACCGTGCTAGCTTGCTAATGCAAGCAAAATATAGTGTATTAGTGCTTTTCTCAAAATGTATGACTCTACTCTCATGTGCAATAGATTTCAACCACCAAAACCTGACCTAATAACATTCAAAGTAAATAAACTAGAAACATGATTCAACATAAAAAAATGAAATTATTTAAAGATAGAAAGTTATAAACAAACAATCAAACATGTTCTTGCTTAACAAAAAATACCTTTTCGTTTTTGAGTGAGATACTAAGACGGAGTCATGAGTTGCTACATATTATCGGTGAAGCAATCTAAAATCTCATGGACTCACTGAGCCATTGAAGGATGACAATAATTTGTGAAACGATGTAGAGTAGCAATGGGGTTTCATTAACGGGCAAAACTCTCGAGCTCTCGGAATAGAAGGGAAGCGGTGCGACGCTAGAATTTCAAAACAAATGAATTAAGGAAAGGTTATTGGGTTAGTAAGTTACTAAGTTGGGCTGGGCGGCTAGGGCCAGGTTACATTACATGTGGACCAAAATAAACTCACAATTCATTATTATTTTGGGCTTGAAATTCCATTGGCCTTTTTTGTTTGTATGGTCAGGTTTCATTTTTTATGGGTCAAAAAAACCCAAACCGAGCTCGACCAAAATTACCCATTTTAACCCATTTAAATCGATAATCCGTTTGAACCCACCCATTTATCATTTTTTCTTTCAATTTTTTTGATTTCGGGTCGGTATCAGAATGTTGCTCACCCCTAATAAATTTAGTGTTTCGGAAAGTACTTTCTAGAAGTATGTAAAATAACACACTTTCAAAAAGTACTTTCCGAAATACTAAATTTATTATTCTATAAAGAATTTTTCAGAATTATATAAAATAACACACTTCCAGAAAATTATTTTTCAAAATAGTAAAATTGTTCCAAAAAGTACTTTCATAAAGTATGATGTTCTATATAATTTCAAAAAGTACTTTTTAGAATACTAAATTTACTGTTCCAAAAAGTACTTTTTGGGAGTATGTTAAAAACACAATTTCAACAAATGCTTTCGATAACACTAATTTTACTATTCCAAAAAATATTTTCTAAAACAGTAAGGTTATTTGATGTTGTGTTTTATAGACATGTAAATGAGAGAAGTATTCGAAAAAAAAATGCACATTTTGCTTAGCACTTTCCATATTGTCGAGGAAGTCACATATGCCTAAAATGTTGTTAAAAACTAGTTCTATGTCCCATATGCGTGTAAAAATTAAAAGAAGGAAGGGCAAGGATAATAGTATAAAAACTAAAAAAACAAAACATTCTTTTGAATATATTACTTGACATTTGTTGGACACGTTAATTTGATGGTTTTTTTTTTTTAAGTTGTGCTATTTAAATTCGATTAATAAGAGTGACATGGTAATGATAAACTACTTTTTTATCTAGTTGTTCTAGTTAAAGCCAAACCACATGAGATTGATTTTAAAGTTCTACAATTCCTAACCCAAAAGTTGAGTTGTGAGTTATCTAGCACTGGTGTGTATTTATGATCGGGGGATCCCTAATTCAGGTATGCGTTAGGAATTGGCGCTTCCATGTACCCGTGATTCCAATAATACAAGAATAAGTGTTCACATTGGAATCGAGCCATGTGAAATTGGGCCATGAGTTGGGTTTTGATCTTAGAAGCTCCACAGCCCCCAATTCCATATGAGAGGCAAAGGAACTACGCTTATGATATATACACTTTTTTTTTTTTTAATAAATACACCTCTTTTATTTTTTAAAAGAAATTTAAAAATATATTTAATTTTTTTTAATTTATTAATTTTGCACCTTCAACTTTCAAATTACTATTTTCTTCTTCCTTTTTTCACACACTTCCTTTCTTCTTTTTTTAGTTTTTATATGCACTCATTTGTCTTCCCTCAATTTCACACTTCTTTCAGTAGATAATTTTAGTTCTCTTTGTTTTTGTATTATTCTCTTCTTTCCTCACTTTTTTCACTTTTTCAAATGCCCCCGGATTGTAAAATTGGCATGAGACGACATTATAGGTATGTGCAACTTCTTCAATAGTTTTTATCAAGCTAAATGTACATTTTTTTGTTCCAACACTTCTTCCCCTTTCACACCCTCAAAAAACTTAACATTAAATTTAGTGTTATGGAAAAGACATTCAAGAATACTAATTTCACTATTCTATAATACTTTTTGGGATAGTGAAATTAGTATTCCAAAAAATATTTTTTGAAATTATTTTTTTTTATATACTTCCAGAAATTACTTTTTGGAGTAGTAAATTTAGTGTTTCGGAAAGTACTTTATAAAAATATATAAAATAATACACTTTCAAAAAGTACTTTCTAAAACACTAAAATTATTGTTTTAGAAAGAACTTTTCAAAATTATATCAAATAACATACTTTCAGAAAATACTTTTTAAAATAGTAAAATTAATACTCTGGAAAGTACTTTCTGAAAGTGTGTTGTTTAATTTATATAATTTTGGAAGTAGTTTTTATAACACTAAATTTATTGTTCCAAAAAGTACTTTTTGAAAGTATATTAAAAACAAAATTTCAACACATGCTTTCGGTGACACTAATTTTACTATAGCAAAAAATATTTTATAAAACACTAAAGTTATTTAATGT